ATTAAAACTCTTTGCACTGTTCAACATTGCAAAATCTCACCCACAGAATGGCTTGCTTTCTGGCCTCCCTTTCCTGTGTCGGTACGTGGGCGGCATCATCTCTAGCACGGGCGGCGAGTGGCTCATGTCTCGTGGGTTCCTGTCCATCGTCAACACGCGAAGAATCTTCAGTGCTGTTGGTAAGGTGTGGGTGGTGTGGGCGGTGGGGGCGGTGTGGGCGGTGTGGGCGGTGGGGCGGTGGGGCGGTGTGGGCGGTGGGGGCGTGTGGGCGGTGGGGCGGTGTGGGCGGTGTGGGCGGTGTGGGGTGGGGCGGTGTGGGCGGTGTGGGCGGTGGGGGCGGTGTGGGGTGTGGCGGTGTGTGTGTGGGCGGTGCGGTGTGGGGCGGTGTGGGCGGTGGGGGCGGTGTGGGCGATGTGGGCGGTGTGGGCGGTGGGGCCGTGGTCTTGTTTGTTTGGGTCCTGTTGCTGTGTTTTTTTATGGGGTTTTGGGTTTTTGGGTCTTTGTTCTATGTTATGTTCTGTTGTATGTTCTTATTATATATATATATATATATATATATATATATATATATATATATATATATATATATATATATATATATATATATATGTTTTTCGACCCACATGCTGTTCTAGTTGACCCTTGTAACCATTTTCTCTGCTTCGTGAGTTGTTTAATTTCATTTTCTTGTTTTTTTTTTTCCTTTTCCAAGTTATTTTGATTTTTGTTTTGTGATATTTCCCTCCTCTTGGCAGCATCGTTGTGTCGGATTATCATATTTTATTTATTTTTACTTCGTGTTATTTTTTTGTGTCTTATTGATAATTTCTTTTCTGCCTCTACGTTACACCTTATTTTCCAATCGTTTTGTTATCTTTCTTTTTCTCGAATCATCCACATTACATATTATTTCATTTATCCCATTTCCGTATTGTGATATTTTCCCTACATTTCACCATCCATGTTACATATAATTATCATATTTACATATTTACATCCTTACGTCTGGCAGCCATGTTGGGACCGACAGTCGTCTTAGTGGGCGTGGCCTATTCCGGCTGCGACCCCGCCCTCACCGTCTCTCTCCTGTGCCTCAGCATGTTCCTCAACGGCGCCATAACGACCAGTCAGCTCGTTAACCACACTGACGTCGCACCCAACTTTTCGGGTAAAGAATTATGGACTAACGGCCGGATGCTGAAAGAAATTAATTAAAAGCAAAACCGTTTTTTTGACACGATTTTCTTATGAATTTTCACGAATGTAGGATGTCTTATCTTAATTTAAAAAATTGTGGATTAACGGCCGGATGCTGAAAGAAATTGTGTAAAAGCAAAACCGTTTTTTTTTTCTTATGAATTTTCACGAATGTAGGATGTCTTATCATTTTAAAAATTGTGGATTAACGGCCATGCTTAAAGAATTAATTAAAAGCAAAACCGTTTTTTTTTTGGCACGATTTTCTTGTGCTAGAATCTTCACGAATGTAGGAAGTCTTAACTTAATTCTAGGATTGTCATTTAGGATTGTCATTTTCAAAAACAAAATGTACTCTCCTTCTCGTATTATTTTGGTTTATCAAGTGATTTTTTTCTGTATTATTCCTTAGTAGAGGATTTTGTAGTTTTAAAGTGTGGATTCCACAATTTCTTGAAGCAAACGACCGTTAAATGGACGAGTTTCTGTTATCGAGGTTGTTTGGGGAAAAGATGGTTTTGTTTGGGTGGATTCTATAAGCGGTTCAACCTCATTTTATTTTATTTTTAATCAATTTTATGAGCGTATAAACCGGTCGCTTAGAGGGAGGGTTTAATCTTTGGCGTAAGCTTTTTCGAACATCGTAAAAAATGGCGGTCTGGGTTTAAATGACTTTGGGATGGGGTCTTGGCGTGAAAAAAAAGAGCTTTTTGTGCAGTTTGTGAAAATAATGAAAAAATAATGAAAAAATTGGATGGCCCTAACAAAATTCGGGTATTAGTTTTTGATTTTGTTTATTTAAACCGTTCATGTGATGCATTATTTCATCTTCATCGTTAGCTTATATGATAAACCGGAAATACATGTATTTTAGCCATCAACGAAAATTTCTTCGTATCATGTTTACTAAAACAAGGTACTATTTTACTCTGATTTTATGTGAACATTAATGATATTCTCTTTTCCACGAAAAAGAGAAAGAGGGAATAAATTCTATTCCACAAACAGATAAAGCCAAAATTTCCAACCCGTCTTAGTACAGTTTTTAATTTCATAATGTGGATAAAGCCATAGATGAATTTCTAACTAGACAGGAGAAAAAAACATGTATTTCCAACCAGGTTGTACTGTATCTCAAAATCTTTTCGACATAGCCTTATGATGACCCAGCTCTGATCGGAGAGGAACATAAGTCGGAAACACAATATAAGTAACATTATAAATTCATATTTTAGCCACCAAAAAGCGACAAAGCATTATTTATATCCTGCACTTAAAAGGGTAACAAGTAAATCTCACCAAATTCCATTACGTTGTCCTAGAAAATATAAAAGATTTAGGAGCCAGCTGCGATAACAGTTAAACAAGTCCGGTACATGTTTTCAAGGGTTGACAGTGCATTCTTTATTTAAAGTGTGGAAGTGTCATCCCTCAAGCCTAGATGTAGGCCTACCTTCTGTTGAACATACCATATATATATATATTTATTCTTTAGACATGTGTAATATAGGACACGTTAATTTATATACACTATACAGCGTGGCAGGAAAATTTACATTATGTACTGGGTAACAGTGGAAAAAAAATATATACATATATATAATTTTGATATTAAAGGCATTAAGAAGTTTTTTTGTATGTAAGATCCACAAGAATAATAAAGCTTTTGGTATTATGTTGAACATCATAATGATTCCCATTAGCATTATCATCATTGTTATTATAATTGTTACTGTTATCGATACTTTTGCAATCGTTATTATAAATGCCAACATCACTATCATCAAATTACTTTCTCAAATATAGGTAGTTCATTATTTTTACCTACTTTTATCAGTATTATCTTTATTAGTATTATCGTCACTGTTATTGATGTCATTGTAACCATTATTATCCTTGTCAACATCATTATCCTTGGTCCTTGTCATCATTATCCTTGTTCATTATCATTCATTTATCCTTGTCAAACATCATGTCCTTGTTAACATCAATTATCCTTGTCAACATCATTATCGCTTTGTCAACAATCATTATCCTTGTCAACATTTCAATCCCTTGTTAAATCATTATCCTTGTAACATCATTATCCTTTGTCATCATTATCCTTGTCAACATCATCAATACCTTGTCAACGATCATTATCTGCCTTGTCAACATCATTATCCTTGTCAATATCATGTATCCTTGGTCAACATGCATTATGGCTTGTCAACATCAATCATCCTTGTCAACATCATTTATCCTTGTCAACATCATCATCACTTGTCAAACATCATTTTATCCTTGTCAATCATTATCCTTGTCACATCATAATGCCTGTCATCACTATCCATTGTCAACTTCATTATCGTTGTCAACATCATTATGCCATGTCAATAGCATTATACCTTGGTCAACAATACATTATGCACTGTCAAACCCATCATTCATCAACTTGTGATCAATAAATCATATATCCATATCGTTATAACATTTCTATTATTATCATACTTGTACATAGTTTATAATCATCATTCTTTTGTTCAACATCTTATTATCTTTAGTTCATTAACATTATTCTTGTCTAACATCAATAATCCTTGGTACATGCAACTATCTTATACATTGTTCATATCATTCTATTTATTTATCGTATGTTCTTAACATATCTTTATCATTATTGTACAATTCATTATTAGTATCTTATTGATCATTACAATCATGTATGTCTTATTTACTTAAGTCAAAACATCATTTATGCTTGCTGGTGTCAATCGAGGATTCGATCAGTGCTTGTGGTGCTTTTGGTTGCTGAAGAAGGTTTCATATATACTTTAAGTTCATACATCATTCTCTGGAATCGCTATTTTGTTCAAAAACATCAATTATCTCTTCGTCATCATATCAATGGCTCTTTGGTTCAAACACCTATTATATCTCATTATAGTCAATCATTCAATTATGTCTCTTCTGTCTATTCTTTCGATTATCTGGTTCTTTGTGCATCATCATTTATCCTTCGTCTCAACTATCTATTATCTCTTCGTCAATTCATCCTATCTCTTTGTCGAATTCATTCTCCTCTTCTCTCTCTCTCTTCTCTCTCTCTCTTTTCATTCTCGGTCATATCCCTTTGCTCCACTACTCTCATTCACTCTACTCTTCTCTCCTTGTCAACACTCATTCTATCCTTACCCCTTTTCCTATCGTGCATTACTTATATATTATTATATATTATACATATGCATTTATCCTTAGTCAACTAATATATTATTCATTATGACTTTTGTAATTACATGTATCCTTGAGATCTCATCATCTAATTATACACCACTTATTGATCATGATCATCAATTATTGTCTTTTGGTTAGATTCAGAATCCATCACTACTATCACTTTGACTCAACAATCACAATTATGCCTGTCAACATCATTATCCTTGGTCAACATCAATTATCCTTGTCAATCATCATTATCGCTTGGTCAACAATCATTATCCTTGTCAACCAGGTCATTATTTGTCTATTATTATTCAATCATCCATATCCTTGTCAACATCATTATGCTTGTCAACATCATTAACCTGTCATCATGTATCCTTGTCAACATCAATGCATCCTTGTCAACATCATTATCCTTGTCCATCTGCATTTATCCTCTGTCAACATCATTATCCTTGTCAACATCATTATCCTTGTCACAATCATCATTATCGCTTGTCAACATCATTATCCTTTGCAACATCAATTATCCTTGTCAATCATCATTAATCCTTGTCAACATCATTATCCTTGTCAACATCATTATCCTTGTCATCATTATCCTTCAACCATCATCCTTGTCAACATCATTATCCTTGCCAACATCATCATCTTTAAATCACAAATACATATTTAGGAAACGCAATGTTTTAACCCAGTAAAAAATACACCAATTTACGGTGTTGTACAGTTCCATGCCAAAAAAAAAAAAAAAAAAAAAAACTTTTGTAAAATATGCTTTTGAATCCTGCTTCCAATTATGGAAGAACGTAACCTTTGTTAGTTAAAGTTAAAGGAATTTCAAAACTTTATGCATCGTTTATATGAATTTCGCTCCGTGACTGTGTTGTGCGAATCAAATATCTATTTTTTTTACGTTTTTTTTTTTTTTTTTTTTTTTATCGCGGGTTTGGTGTATTTAGTTACATTGATTGATTGGTTTTTATTGTGATTTTTTGATTTATTATTATAAAAGATATGATAAGTGTTCTATTATTCATTATTATAAAAGATGGTTATTTATTTTTTGCTCTTGGGTTTAATTTTAGGGTTCCGCAAATGAACACAACTTTTTTTTTTCCTTTTTTCATTATGGTTGTGATGTATTTAATTTCATTTATCCGTTAATCATCTATTTTTGTTTATTTATTTTATTTATTGTTATTATTATTATTATTATTATTATTATTATTATTATTATTATTATTATTATTATTATTATTATTATTATTATTATTATTGTTATTATTATTATTATTATTATTATTATTATTATTATTATTATTAATTATGTATCATTATCATTTATTTATATTATTATTATTATTATTATTATTTATTATTTATTATTATTATTTTATTATTATTATTATTATTATTATTATTATTATTATTATTATTATTATTATTATTATTTATTTATTATTATTATTATTATTATTATTATTATTATTATTATTATTATTTATTATTCATTATTATTATTATTATTATTATCATTATTATTATTACTATTATTATGATCATTATCATTATTATTATTATTATCCATTTCTTAGGTTTATCGGTAGGATTACAGACAAAATTAATTGTCAGTGATTCAGAAACAGAATCTGATACAATTATTAAAACTAGATTGTGGGAGATTTCAATGTTCAGTTGAATTTTCATATATTTTGGTAAACATAAGTAATTTTATCATTTTTTTCTTTGTCGTAAGCAGATTTTAAAAGGATTATTTAAAATGTCTTTTATTTATTTATTTATTTTTCATTTATTAATTATTTCTGATTGATATCTTTTATCTGTTTATGTATTCAGTTTACTAATATCATGCATACTACATTAATTCATTCATTTAGCTCACCAAATATTACTAATTACTGTATTAGCAATGCATACTATAATCATTAATTTAGCTTATCCGCAATTTTTACTAATTCACTGATGATTAATGCATACTATTAAATTTCATTCAAAATGTTCAATTCATGTTACCAATGACTGTGTCATGCAATGCATAATATTAATTCATTCAGTTACTCACCTAAATAATTACTAATTACTGTAAAAAAAAGTTATTAATGGCATACTATTAATTCATTAATTTACTCATTACCAAATATTAAATTACTGTATAGTTAATGCATACTATTATTCATTAATTTTCTAATTTACTATATAATTAATGCATACTATTAATTAATTCATTTACTCCCCCAGATATTACTAATTACTATATAATTAACGCATTCACTCATATACAAATACTATCGCAATGACTATACAATTAACGCCATAACCATAATTCATTCATTTACTCCCCCGGCAGAATTACTAATTAAAGTAGCAATTAACATACCATAAATTCATCATTATTACTGTCTCCCCCAAATATTAACTAATTACAGTACAATTAAGCATACCATTAATTCATTCATTTACTCACTCTATAATTAATGCATACTATTAATTCTTTCCTTTACTAATTACTATATAATTAACGCATTTTAGCTCATCCCAAATATTAGCCTAATTACTATATAATTAACGCATACCATTTAATTCCATTCATTTACTCCCCAGAATATTACTAATGATATATAATTTACAGATTTTAGCTCACGCCAAATGATTACGCAATAAAATACAATTAACGCATCCCTAGTTAATTAATTCATCTACTCGGACGGGGCACTATCCTCCTTCGACTCATCTCATCCAAATATTACTAATTACAGTACAATTAACGCATCCTATTAAATTATCATTGACTCACTCTTCGAACTCATCTCATCCAAATATTCTAAAATTACAGTACAATTAACGCATACCATTAATTCATTCATTTACTAATCACTCTATAAATCTAATGCATACTATAATTATTCATTACTCCCCCAGATATTACTAATTACTGTATAATTAACTGCATAATAATTCCATTAATTCATTCATTTACTCACTCTATAATTAATGCATACTATTAATTAATTCATTGATACTCACATACTATTAAGATTAACGCATACCATTAATTCATTCATTTACTAATTACTATATAATTAACGCATACTATTAATTCATTCATTTACTCACTCTATAATTAATGCATACCATTAATTCATTCATTGACTCACTCTATAATTAATGCATACTATTAATTCATTCATTGACTCACTCACTCATTCGTCGTCTTCCAGGCACGTTGTTCGGCATCAGCAACGACCTTCGCTTCGATTGCGGGTCATTCATCTCACGCTGTGGCGGTGGCGGCCATTATGAGGAACCAGGTAGGAGGAAGGGTAAAAAAGGGGGAGAGGATGGTGGGAGAGAGGGTATGGATGGGTGGTGGGGGGTGGATGGAGGGGAGGAGGGATGGGGATGGAGGGAGGTTGAAAAAGGGGGGAGAGGGGGTGATAGGTGGAGGGTGTGGAGGAAGGGGGTTTGAAAAGGGGGGTTGGGGAGGGGGAGAGGGGAAGGGGGAGGTGGGATGGAGGGGTGGATGGAGGGTGGTAGGGGATGGTAGGGGGATGGTGGATGCGGATGGCGGCCAATTATTGAGAAAAGCCAGGTAGGAGGGGGACAGGGGATGGAGGGAGGGATGTGGGGGATGGATGGGGAGAGGGGTAAAAAGGGTGGGGGGGAAGGTAGGTTGAAAGGGGGGTGGAGGATGGTTGGGAGGGGGGAAGGGGGGATGGTGGGGGTGGGGGTGGAGGGGGATGGGAAGGGGATGGTGGGTGGAGGCGGTGGCCGATTATTGAGAACCAGGTAGGAGGGGTAAGGGGATGGAGGGAGGGATGGAGGGGAGAGGGATGGAGGGTGGGTGGGGAGGGGGGATGGATGGGGGATGGTGGGGCGGTAGCGGCCGTCATTGAGAACCAGGTAGGGTGGGGATGGATGGAGAGGGATGGTGGGGGAAAGGGATGGAAGGGGATGGATGGAGGGTGGTGGTGGGGGAGGAGGGGAGGGGTGGGGGATGGTGGGGGGGATGGTGGGAGGGATAGTGGGGCGGTAGCGGCCGTCATTGAGAACCAGGCAGGAGGGAAAGGGGATGGGGGAGGGGAGAGGGTGGGCATGGAGGGGAGGTGGGGGGGGATGGAAAGAGGATGGAGGTGGAAGGGTGAGTGGGATGGATGGTGGGAGGAGAGGGATGGATGGGTGGATGGAGGGGTGGGTGGGTGGGGATGGATGGGTGGAGGAGGGGTGATGGGAAGGGGAGAGGGGAGGTGGGATGGGCGGGGTAGGGGGATGGTGGGCGGTAGCGGCCGTCATTGAGAACCTTGTAGGAGGGGAAGGGGGATGGAGAGGGGAGGGATGGTGGTGGAGGAGGGGTGGGGGAGAAGGGGGGAGGGGGAAGGGGGGAAAAGGGGGATAGGTGGAGGGGGAGGGATGATGAGAATAGAGGGGTTAGATGTAGTGGGGGATGGATAGAAGGGGGTGGATAGAAGGGGGTGGATAGGAGGGAGGCTAGGGGGGAGGGAGGCAAGGGTGGGTGGAGGGGGGGGGTAGATGGAGAACCAGGTGGGCGAAGGCGAGGATGGATGGAGAGGTGGATAGACGGATAAATGGCCAGAGACACAGATAGGCCGATGGATAAGTAGATGGATGGATAGACACGGAAACAAATAAATAGATAGACTGGATATAGATTGAAATAGATGATGTCGGCTGTATGGATAGATGGATAAATTATATAGCTTGATGGATAGATAGATAAATAGACTGATAGATGGATAGATGGAGTGGACTTAAGCCGGTACACTGCCAGAGAGACAGATAGACAGATGGATAGATAGTTACACAAGTAGTTGGGTAGATAAACAGATGGTAAAAGACAAATAGACAGATAGATAAATACGCGAATAGACAAAAAGACAGATAGACACATTAGACAAATAGGCAAAGAGGGAAATAGACGAATAGACAAATTTACAATAGACAGATAGATAGGCAGACAGCCAAATAGACAGACAGACAAATAGGCAGATATGGAACTAAACAAATTGAAAGAGTGACAAATAGACAAATAAAGAAATAAACAAATACAAACAATACAATAAATATAATAACAGAAAAATAGACAAATTGATAAATTGACAAATTGATAGATAGACAAATAGACGAATAGAGAAATAGACAGATAATCAAATAAACAAACAAAAAGAAAAAAAATAGACAGACAGAAATATAGACAAAATAAACAAAGATAGTCTATTAGAAATATAGATAAAAAATAAAGAAACAGATGGACAGACAGAAATAAAGACAAATAAACAAACTGACAAATAATCAAATAGAAAGATAGAGAGAGAGAGAAAGAAAAAAATATGTTCGTAACCAGCGTATCACAGTCGCCTCCTGATTCCGACTTCGCTCCGAAAAAGCGCAACTTTAAGACACATATTAGAGAAATGCGCATTTATTCTCCGTGCCGATTATACCCTTTTGAGAGAGACTTTTCCTTCTTTTTTTCCTTCTTTTAGCCGGTTTGCTTGAGGAAGCACTCAGGGAAATGAACCGGAGAGAACGAGCGAAAGGTTCTGATTGCTTTCGAGTTTGATTCCTCTTTTTTTTTTTTTCTTTAGGGGGATCCAGAGGCGATTCCGGACCAGCGCCAGATCGTCTTTTGTTTTGGCGGGAAATTCTGGTTTTGGGGTTTAGGTGCCGATGCGTGTGTTGGTTTTGGGTTTTGGCGGTGGGTGGGTTGCCAACTCGGGGGGAGAGGGAAAGAGGGAGGGAAGGAGGGAGGGAAGGAAGGAAGGAGAGAGAGGAAGGAGAGAGGGAGGAGAAAGGGGGGGATAGAGAGGGAAAGATTGAGAGAAGGAGGGTGAGAGGGAAAGAGGGAGGGAAGGAGGAAAGAGAGAGAGAAGGAGAGAGGGAGGGAAGGGGGGGTGGAGAGAGGAGGAAGGAAAAGAGTGAAGGAGAGAGGGAAGGAGGGAGAAAGGGATGGGAGGGAGAAAGGGATGGAGGAGAAAGGGATGAAGGGAGAGAGAGAGAGGGAGGGGAAGAGGGAGGGGGAGGGAGGGGAGGGAGGGAGGGAGGAGGGAGGGAGAGAGAGGAGAGAGAGAGAGAAGAGAGAGAGAGAGAGAAGAGAGAGAAGAGAGAGAGATGAGAGAGAGAGAGAGAGAGAGAGAGAGATAGAAATATAGATATATAAATGTGTGTGTGCGTATGTGTATATATATATATGTGTGTGTGTGTGTGTGTGTATTTGCCTATAGAAATCGTATTTCTAAAGAAAGCGAAAATGAGAGATATTAAAAAGGACATTATGGATGAAGAACAAAAGAGACACCAAGAGAATAAAGAACAAGAGAAGAAAAAATATACGTAAAAAAAAAAAAAAAAAAAAAAAAATCCTAAAAAGACAAAACCACGTCTCACATACCCCTTTCTCCCCCTTCCCCCCCTCCCCCTTCCCCCCCACAGCAAACGATGACCCAGTGGCAAAAGGTCTTCTGGATGTGCGTGCCCATCTACGCCGCCGCCGAGGTCTTCTACCTGGCCTTCTGCTCGGGCACGGTTCAGCCCTGGAACTACTCGGGGCAGCACCGTCGCCACGCCCACGAGGAGGCGGAGCGAGGCGGACCCGAGGCCACGGCGCTTCAGTAGGCTCATGGAGGTCGTCGCATGAGCACGTGGGAAGGGGAGGGGTGTCGCGGTGGGTTGGGTTTTGGCTTGTGGGTGGAGGAGAGGGGGGTGGATTTGGGATTTTTTGTTCTAATTTATTTATTTTTTTCCAGCTTTTCTTTGTATGTATGCATATATATATATATATATATATATATATATATATATATATATATATATATATGGTCACACACACACACACACCACACTCAAACACACACACACACACACACACACACACACACACACACAACATATATATATATATATATATATATATATATATATATATATATATATATATATATATGTGTGTGTGTGTGTGTGTGTGTGTGTGTGTGTGTGTGTGTGTATGTGTGTGCCTGTGTCTATATGTACACACACAACACACACACACACACACACACACACACACACACACACACACCACACACACACACACACACACACACACACACACATATATATATATATATATATATATATATATATATATATATATATATATATATATATATATATATATATATATATGTATATACATATATACATACATATACATATGTATGTATATATGTATTTTTACTATTTCGTTTTTCCCTGGATTTCTTTTTCATTTTTAACGTTATTGCATCAATCCATTCAGCTTTATTTATTTTTGAATAGGCCTATATACATATTTTTACCTTTGCATAGGCCTTTATTTTGATATTTGAATACATGGGATTCTCATTGACGCCAAACTGTCGGACTAATTGATATTGCAGTCATCAATTAAGCTCAGACATTATTACACTTACGCTGGCAGGTAAACCGTTAATTGCACCTTATATTCGCACATATTATGAAATATTTTTTTTTAGAATTATGTATCATATTTTTTGAAAGAGAAGTACTGTATTCATTTCCGAATTTATATAATTACACGAGAACGTTGGTGAATAATATTTCTCATTCGTTGATTCTCTGTGCGTTTGGTATAACTTCCCCTTGCGACATGAAATATATTGTAGAATGTAAAATAGACAGCGATTTTCCAATAAAGAATGTTTTTGTCACATTTTTAGTATGATTTGCCTTATCAAATTTTATTATGCATAGTCACAAAGAGAAATAACATTATTTTGTTTTGTCACAATTTTAGTATGAGTTGCCTTATCAAATTTTATGATTAATTATGATAAAACCTTATCAAATTTTAGTATGAATAGTCACAAAGAGAAATAACAGCAATTTTGATAATATGTCTTTTATTCTGTCTATATGCGTCTGTAGATAGGTAGACAGACAGACATAGACAGATAGGCACGCAAAACAAGACAAGACGAGGCAAAATACACACTGACTTCCAATAGTTAGATGAATAAAAAGATAGACAGATAAATAGATATATAGATAGACAGATAGACACTGACTGCCAATAGTTAGATAGTTAGATGAATAAAAAGATAGACAGATAAATAGATATATAAATAGATAGACAGATAGATCGAAGGATAGATAGACAGATAGATAGATCGAAAGATAGATAGACACAACACACCCACACACCCACACCCTCACCCCAACCCAAACCCACCCTCAGATAGATAGACACAACACACTCACACCCACACACTAACACCCACCCCCACCCCACCCCACCCCCATACCCAACCACCTACAACCACCACCCCCACCCACAACTCCCACCCCCACCCCCATACCCAACCAAATACACCCACCCCTACCCGCACACCCCCACCCACACCCATCCCCACCACCCCCACACATAGACCCAAACTCATCGAACGCCCATTCCCAGCCCAATTCCCCCGCTCATTCTTCACCGCCCGTTCCCTCGTGGGCGTCGAGCGAGAAATGGGCGGCCGAGTCGACTTAGAACAGCAACAGATAGGCTTCCCGTGACAGTGAGGGCGCCAGGATGGGGGTATAGTGGTGGATGGATGAGGAGGTGGAGGTGGAGGAGGAGGTGGAGGGGGAGGTGGGGAGGTGGCTGAGGATGGATGGGAGGTGGAGGGGAGGTGGGAGTGGGTGAGGGGGAAGGGGAGGGGAGTGGGTGGGTAGGGGAAAGGGGAGGGGGAGGGAGTGTTGGAGAGGAGGAGGAGGGGGGAGGAGGAGGTGGAGGAGGAGGAGGTGGAGGTGAGAGGGTGAGGAGGAGGAGGTTGGGAGAAGAGGTGGGAGAGAGGGGAGGAGGAGGGAGGAGGTTTGAGGTGGGGAGAGGGGAGGAGGGTGGAGGAGGAGGCAGGAGGAGGTGGAGGGGGAGGTGGGAGTGGGTGAGGGGAGGGGGGAGGAGTGAGGGAAGGAGGAGGGGGTGAGGAGATGGGAGAAGATGGGGAGGGGTGAGGAGGTGAGGAGTGGAGATGGAGGAAGGGAGGGAGGAGGATGGGAGGTGGGGGAGGTATATATATATATATATATATATATATATATATATATATATATATATATATATATATATATATATATACATATACACATATATGTTTGTATGTTTATATGTTGTATATGTGCATGTATGTATACATATCATCATATATACAATATACAATATTTACAAAGACAAATTCTTATCATAAACGTATCTTAATGCCACACTTTTTGTGTTTATGGAAGAAAACCAATTCACAGCGCTATCCTATCGCCATTATGTGCGACGAACCCCTTTCAAGATGCTGTAGATCTACATTTTCAAGATGCTATAGACCTACATTTTCAAGGTCTGGCCATTTTATGCTTCTCCTTAGATAAGAATTGCGGGTCTCTCGTCCATGTGCACTCTGACCTTATGCTTGTTGCAGAGGTCACGATTCCTGGAGTCCCTTTTGACCATCAGGAGTCGGTCTGGCTTGTACGGTGACCAGCGCTGTGTTTCATGATGTTTCTTTCTTTCGTTAAAGCACTGGAAAAAGATTTGTAAAGACAAAGAAAATGGGAAACACAAAAGTGAAAAAAAAACAAAATTCTCACGGAATCTCTCTCCTCCGTCTCTCCTCTCTCTCTCTCTGTCTCTCTCTCTCTCTCTCTCTCTCTCGTCTCTCTCTCGCTCTCTCTCTCTCCTCTCTCTGCTCCCTCCCTCCCGCCTCCCCTCCTCCTCACCCTCCCTCCGCTCCTCTCTCATCCTTCTCCTTCTCCTCCCCTCCACCCTCCCACTTCCCCCGTCTCTCGTCTTCTCTCCTGGCCCCAGTCACTGACGAAAGACAAAACGAATAGATTTCAGACTTTTCCCCATTAATCAGAGTCCATCAAGAATGCAACAGGTAATTAATAACACGGCTTGGAGGTCTGGGTAATCAGAGAAAAGAAAAAAATTGTCCTTCAGACTTCAGACCATGAATAATTAAGGCTGGGAGGGGGGGGGGTGGGGGTGGGGGATAGGGGTTAATTGGGGTAATCAATGTGTTATTAAGAAGAAGGTTAATTGATAAACAGAAGGATAAAGAGGATTGTTGGATGGAAAGAGAGAGAAGAATTGTGACTTGTATACATACACATACAGTCCTACAAAGAAACAAACTCATATATGTTTATAAATTTCAGTTGCTTTCATTATTTTTTTTCAGTTTCTTTCTATTTCCTCACTTTTGCTTATCTTCCAAACTTTAGATTATCCAAGAACCTTCTTTCACTCACCAATTACGAGAGCTGATTGGGTCTTGTGCCTGCCAATCACTGCCTGCTGCCTTCTGACTATATGCACGGCTTTCAGAACAGTCAGAGGCATTTGAAACAGTTCTTCTCTATTTGTTTTGTTTGCTCTTTCTCTCTTTATCTCTCTGCTTTTCACTCTCTCTCTCTTTGTGTCTTTTTATATCTCTCTCTCTGTCTCTATCTCTTTTCTCTCACTCTATCTCTCTCTGTCTATCTCTCTCTATTTGTCTCTCTCTCTCTCTGCTCTTTATCTTCTGTCTCTCTCTCTCTCTCTCTTTA